TTAAAGCTGTAAGCTAATGATAGTTATATAAGAGCAGATGCTGCTGGTGCAATAAGCTGTACGTTTTATGTCCAATGGATGATGATCTGATTAGTCGACTAATCGCAAAAATAATCGGTGACTAGTCGACTATCAAAATAATCGTTTGTGGCAGCCCTAAGTGTAACCATGTTACTGCACATACTTGGCATTCAGTACTTATGATTAGAAAAACAGAAGTATATCACATCGCGCTGCTGGCACTGTGGTAGTTAAAATGAACTTGTTGCTCTTCACTGTGAATTGAAGGATGATTACAGTCTGGCTTTATTCATGTGTAAACTGTAATTTTCAGTTAATACATTACAGGGACATGCAGTGTAATCAAAATGGATGGGACTTCAGCGGCTTTGTTTGTTGGAAAAGACATAGATGGAGGGGACAGTGCACTTTGCCATCCTTCTTTTTGTTTTCCACTTGCATTTTTTAGGAAAACTTTCTCCCTCCTCCTTTGCATGAATGAGCCTGTTTACCTGTCTCTCTCTCTCTCACTCAGACGTGCACACTGAGGCGGTGCAGGCTGTGTTGGCGCGACACGTTGAGAGGAAGGTAGCGGTGCCCATGCCCTCCAAGAGACGCTCGCTGGTGGTGCAGACCTCCATGGATGCATACACGCCTCCAGGTGACGACACACAGACTGAGACACACACCTGTATTTGTGCTCCATGTATTTTTCTGATTGAGATGTGATCAAACGAGACAACATATACTTGTGACGGTGGATTAAAACATTAAAACTGCAAACTATAACAAAATACGTAAATAAAGTAGAAATAAAATATGACAAACTAGAAAAAACCCAAAGTAAAATATAATAAGGAAGCTCAGTAATTTAACTTATAAACAGAATGTGTGAAAGTGGCTGCGTAAAGTTACACGACTTAACAATATTGAACTAAGAATAGCTCAGTGGTTCAGTTTAACAGGTCATGTGATCTTCTGATGTGCACTTTTGAGCAGGAGATTAGAAGCAGCCAAGCGTTGGATTGTTTTTTCATGTCTTAAAAAATAGTGTTTAGTTTAAAGAAAAAAGTACAGAGAAAGTGCACACACTCATACACACACACATACACACACTCATACACACACTCATACACACACTCATACACACACACATGCTGTGGTTATCTCCGCTGAAATGGGTTGCACTAAGCCGAAAATTTGACCCCGGAGAGGCAGGCCCGAGCCCAGACGGGATTATGTTGTAATGCCGTGTCTCTGCTTTCTCAGACGTTTTCCATTCTGACAGAAACACACTCATCTCTCCAAAAAACTGCAAACATGCACATTTCCTGAGGCGCTGATGGTTTTACAGTGAAAACAAACCACAGACAGATGTAACGTTGCACGCAGTCAGCTACTGTAAATGCGATCTGCCATCAGAAAAAGGAAAAACACCGATTAGTAGCTGACTATTCTGCGTATTTGCAACTGCAAAAAACGTGGACGAAGGGGGAAAGTCGGAGCTGACCTTTACCTCAAATATGAGCTCATTAGATTGAACAGAATTGGAGTTGACGGTATAATTTTGCTGCTGATTGGATTTTAATGGAGGAAATGTAATAACTTTGTTCACTGCCAATTTGCTTTTTAACCTTTGAGAAAATTCTTAAGCGATCCCGACATCACCCCAAAGGCTCGTCTTACTCATGAGCCTCAGTGGTCGACACGAGACACTTACTTGCTTCCTGTTATAGGAAAGTCAGAGCAGAAACTGAATCCCCATGTTATGTTTACTGCTCCTCCGTGTTCACACGATGAACTCGTTTAAAGAAGTCAATTCAGCCTTTTTCCTAAAGTGCAGCCCAAAGCCAGTTTTACCTAAATTGGTTCTCGTGGTTGTTACTACCTTAGCTGACTAATTATTGACATTTTCAGCTCTAGAGCCTGCTGTGTCGCCCAAAGCTCATCAAACTTCAGCGGTGAACAGAATTAATCATGGTCTCCAGGCTTTTTCTGAACCATTGTAATACTGACTGGAGACAATTGTCTTAAAAACACTCAATTCAGATCTGTTTCTTATTACCGGGCTCAGATGTGGATCAGCAGTCGTGGATTAAATGCCACGCTGGGTATAAATGAAGGGATGTGGGGTGGCACAGGAGTGGGACCTCAAACAAGGGAGGCGAGCAAGCAGGAAATCTGAATGTTTGATCAGAAATAAATCCAGCGTAGGAAATTGGTGTAAAACACGATTTTCAGGCGCATGTGCAGCCACACGGGTTAGGTGAAAAATAATATGCATCAAGAGATTTGTATGCTTCTAGTTTTTCTTTTGCACAAATAGATATATAGAGATATATTTTATTTATCCAAAAAGTCGGAAAATTACTGTGTAAAAACAGCCAAAGCATGAAAAACAACCCAGCTCAAAATGACCTTAATGTGACCCAAAAAGGAGCTTGGTGAAATGGAAAAAAGTGCAGGGCTGGTTCAGTAAATGTTGAGGTGGTTTGGGGTATCCATTTATTAACCATAGTCTTTCTTCACAAGCACAGTTATGTGGATTATCTCTGTGTTAGCTGAATTCAAACTGAATTCCCTTGGCGAGTAATATAGACACATTCCACAGCTGCAGTTCAATAATCAGGCCAGAAAAACATGAAATCACAGGAAAACGTCCAGGATTACATCACTTTGAATAACAAAAACAGTGCAATTGCTCTACTTAGGTTAACATCCCGCGCTCACTGTGTTCCCTCTGGGTCTTGATTAGCTCTGAGCTCATCGTTGTCCAAATACATTCCCCATGATTATCGCTGGAACCTACTGTTTGTATTTCCCACTCTTCGTTCTGAAACCCTGTTAACTTCTCTGTAACTCTTACACCAGTTTCTTGCTAAGAAAAAATTTAATACCATTCTCATTCAAGCACTTAGTTAGGGGACGGTTAGCTTAGCGTGAAGACTTAAAGCAACAGTAAGACAATAAGAAAGTGAGCCTCCAATTCACTAAAAAGATGTTTTATCTGATTATTTCTGTAGAAAAACAAAGAACCAAAAAGGATCTGAGCTGGGACATTAACACAAACTTTTATCTTTTTCTCTTGAGCTAAATTGGATGCCGAGCTAATCTAGCAAACAAATGGCTCTGGCGTCGTAGCAGTGTTTATCATTTCATTTAATTGGAAGAAGCTAGTCTCCCAAACTGCTGAATTGTTTAGCAGCAGGTCTTATATTGTGTTAGCACTCATTTCAGTTCCTGCTTATTTATTATTGTTACTTTTATGCTGTGAAAGTTCTGTTATTAACATATAATGGCGGCTACTGTCCCTCTCTAGGTCTGTCCCCCCTGTGCTCAGACTCCTCGTCGGGCTCAGAGGAGGAGGCGGGGCCAGGTGACGACATGTCGGGCATGGAGCACTGGATGAGCCGCCCTTCCCAGCTAGGCCCCGCCCACCTAGGCTCCACCTCCTCCTCGTCCTCGTCCACGCAGAGCGGAGGCAGCGGTAATGCCGGACGGCTAGCCGACTCGCTGGCGCACATGCACATCTCGCACCTGGCGCACACGCACCTGGCGCACCTGGGCCAGTCGCACCACCAGCAGAGCCACCTGTCACAGTCGCACCACGGTAAGACTCCAGTCCTCTCGTGCATTTTTCCTAATACAGCTCCAGCATTTTGAATTTTCACCTGTGTCTTTGAATAAAGGTGATTCCTAAAATGAGGAAATTCACATTATTTTTATTATAGTCAAACCCAAAGATTGTTACTGATAAAGTATTTGGTCTACAAAGAGTGAAAACAAGGTAAAAGAGGTCAAAGGAGTCAGTTTTCATTTTCTGACACAACTGAGGTTGTAACAAGGAGGACTAGAATTTCGTTGGTCTTGGTTATGGCCCAATAGGAGTGCAGTCCAAGAGCCTTTGCAGTAATTCACAGTATTTGACTGTGATGCAGCTGTTTATTGCTCCTTCAGGTATCGGCCACCTGTCTCTGAAGAGGAAGGGAGCTCTTAGTATAGCAGAGAACGGCGGCTCTCTGCGACGGTCCTGTGAGTTTGGCTCCGACATGCTGTGGCCTCCGCCGCTGGAGTCAGAGGGTAGGTTTCACCTTTTTCAGAGTCTCTGAAGACTGCAGAATGCCTGCAGAATGCCTTAGTGAGTATAAACAATCAAAATAATGCAGCCTTTAATCACCATTCTGAGGTATAAGTCATGATAGGTGGTAACCCCAACCTTGAGTTTGGAGAAAGGCAGAATGTGTGATGTGAACAGTTTGACTTGGGGGAACTGTTTAAGTAAAGTTTAGGGTTACATTTAGAGTTGGAGTCACCACGGATGGCCGAATAGACCTCAGCAGGTTAAGAGAAGAAATGTCAGCTATTTCCAAAACAGTATGTGGACATTAAATCGTTTTCTTATCAATTTCTGTTTTTAAAACCTTTAAAAATTCACTAAATCACTCCATAAAATGTGGAAGAAGACTGTGAGGTATTGACTCAAGTCGAATTGATGCTGAGATGCAATTTTGTGTAATACCAGTGAGTCAATGCAACGTCTCTTTAGAAAATAGGTTTGGCTGAAAAGAAATATATAAAGCTAAACAGCTGCATCACCACCATCAGGCCGGGGTCTTTCTGTGTGGAGTTTGCATGTTCTCCCCGTGTTTGCGTGGGTTCCCTCCGGGCACTCCAGCTTCCTCCCACCGTCCAAAGACATGCAGCTTGTGGGGATAGGTTAATTGGATAATCCAAATTGCCACTAGGTGTGAATGTGCGAGTGAATGGTTGTCTGTCTCTGTGTGTTGGCCCTGCGACAGACTGGCGACCTGTCCAGGGTGTACCCCGCCTCTCGCCCTATGACAGCTGGGATAGGCTCCAGCGCCCCCGCGACCCTGAAAAAGGATAAGCGGAAGTGAATGGGATGGATGGATAAACAGCTGCATATCTTGAAAAAGACTGCACACATGTGCTGGTAAAATGCTGCCCCCTGGTGGTAAAAGGTTTAGTTCAATTCTGTACAGGATAGCTACAAAGTGCACCTTTAATATGACCAAAAACATCTGTTGTTATTGATGTTTGGAGAAGAAGTTTTCCGTTGAAAGCTTTACACTTGTGTACGCAGCAAGAGATGTTTTGAAGCGCAGCTATTCCAGACCCTGCTGACTCCTGTGTTTGTCAGGGCTGTGACCCAAATTAGCAGTGAAACAAGATGACCATCAGAACGTGTCTAATTGCCCGTGGACTCTATAACACACGGCACTTGACAAACAGAGCAGTGATAAAGGTGAACAGTGAGTCACCGCTGTCTGTTTCAGCTCTCTCTCTCTCCATCTGCCTCACAGAGAACCACTCGGCCCCGCCGGACGTGACGGGATACTCGTCGGACTCGTCCCACTCCCACACTGAGCGTCACCACATGGCCAATATGGGAACCATTGCCAGGAACACGCAGAAATACGGCAACGCGGAGCGCATGGAGACAGGCGATGGTAGGAGTCACCGCCAACGTCACACCTTTAGCCAGCTCCCAGCTGGAGCCTCTGAATAAAAATACTGGAGACCGTCTGATAAAAATAGCAACTCTTTAATCAGGAAGTGAGCTCAAATTGGACCAGCGCCTCAGAGAACTGGCCAATTACACGGTTTGTGTTGATGTCAGTCCCCTGGAAGAACAGATTGGACTTTTTTACCATTTATTTTTCTAAGCAGAGCTGACAGAGCACCTTTGTTGTTCTTTCTTCAGCATGTTTCACAATCACAGTCACAGTTAGAGAGCTGAGAGCTCCTCAGAATAATCACAGGCTGTGGTCCACTTAGCAGAGCCTTGTGCCAAAAATACAGAGTTTCTACTTCAGCGCCTTAAAGGGAAACCAATCTGCAAATTTCCATCTTCATACATTTATTATTGGCTTGTACTTGATTAGTATTTTATTATTTACAGTCCAAATTAATCCATATTTATCATGTACCAGGTTCTTGGTGAAGTTCATCTTCTGTCAGAAACAACCTGCTTTAGCTCCTCCCTCTTTAAGCCAGATTTCCTCAGATGACCATATAAGGGATATTCTCACATGACATCATACAGAGCCAGGAGTCTAAAAAACTGTTGAAATGCAATGTTTAGACTGTAGATTGTACAAATGTTGCAGTGCTGCAAGCCTGCATTCTGTTTAATGGACTCAGTGCGGGGACGCCTCCAGGTCCAAAAGTACCATATTTCACTAACCTTGAACTAATGGTTTACGTTGGCTAGAAATGTGTTCCCCTCATGGTTAAAAATCTGGGCCCTCTTGCTTCTTATATTAAATCCTCCATTAGGAACATTGGTGTTATTTTGATCCAGCTCTGACGCTGGACACACACGTCAAATCTTTGGTTCGCTCTTGTTTTTACCATTTAAGAAATATCGCTAAGCTGAGTCCCGTTGTGTCACGTTCCGAATCGGAAATGATTATTCATGTTTTTGTTTCATCTCGCTAGACTATTGTAATTCCTTGTTTACTTGCTTAAGTAATGCCTCCCAGGAACAACTGCAGGGTGTTCAAAATGCTGCTGCTAGGCTTCTGATAAAGCATCACAAATACTCCCCTGCTGATTCAGCTGCATTGGCTCCCTGTCAAGTTCAGGGTCCATTTTAAGATCATAATCATGACTTATAGGGCCCTGCACGGTGTAGCTCCAACTTACATAAGTGATCTTCTTCTTCCTTATCACCCCAGCAGGTCCCTGAGGTCTTGTGATCAGGGGTTGCTGGTTTGTCCAGCGTACAAGGTTAAAAACAAAAGGTGACAGAGCGTTTGTATCAGTGGCTCCCAGACTCTGGAACTCGCTCCCTTTGAGTTTGAGATCTGTGGACTCAGTCATGTCTTTAAAAAGCAGTTAAAAACGTATCTGTTTAAACTCGCTTTTGGTTAATTTTGTTTTGTTTGAGATTTTAATGTCTGTTTTCTGCCTTTGTAAAGCACTTTGTGATTTTATCTTGAAAGGTTCTATATAAATAAAATTTTACTTTACTTACTTTACTTTACATCATTTATATACAGTCTGTGGTTTAAAAGCTTGAACTGTTTGCTTACAGGACTGACAAATTCTTTATTTCTCTCTCATATATGAAAGAACGTCAGAAGAAAAGCAGGATCGTTCATTCAGTATTTGTGCAGGGTTTACATCACAGGCAGTATTTTAGTCTCAGACTTTGCAACACATCATGTAACACTGGAGGTTTATTATAGTTTTCATGATCGTCTTGTAAGCTGTTCACGTCACCACTTTCCTTTTTGCAGGTGTTCCGGTCAGCAGTCGCGTGTCGGCTAAGATCCAGCAGCTGGTGAACACGCTGAAGCAGCCTCGCAGACCTCCACTACGAGAGTTCTTTGTTGATGACTTTGATGAGCTTTTAGAAGGTAAAAACAGTCTTTCTGTTCATTTTAAAAAATGATCCCCAAGTGATTCATTTAATAAATCTCTTTAATAAACACGTAATGAGCTTTGCTACAGGTCAGTATGCAAAATCAGCCTTTTTCAAAGAAACACAGCTCAGTGCTGAGGTGTTAAGTGGCGTTCATGGATGCAAATAAATGAACTGTGAATGTTAATTTTGCAGGTCTCAAGAAATTTTGGAAAAAAGAGTTTCTGTTAAGTTGAAGCTGACAGTTGGTCAGCTTGCAAATAAGTTTGTTTGCGTGTGATTACAGAACAGCAGTAGTTACAGCATCTTTCTAACAGCTGAACGTCTTGTAAGCTGGTCAAGTCCCAGAAATTGCAGTTCCTTCAATGGCCACTCGAGGCAGGATCCATGTGGGAGTAAATTCCCATAGACTCCCATGTTAAAAACATTACAGCAGAAATAAACCTGTTGGCAGCTGACAATAAGAAACAACGTTAGTCAGTGTAGCTAATTTTCTCCTTCATAAAAATTGATGGGGCTGAAAATGTTTTTAAACAAACCTATTTAAATTTTATTAGCACTTAAAGTTATGCAGTATTATAGGCGTGGCCACACTGATTTATGCAGAACAGTGCGCCCTCAGGCAGGTTTGTGCTGGTCCTGTGTGGTTCATAGCACTAACATAACATGTAATATGTCTCAAATTCATAACATGTGGTAAGCAAAGTTCTTCTCTTAGTGACTTATTCCATCAACCCCAACTGGTCGCGGCAAATGGCGGCCCGTCCCTGAGCCTGGTTCTGCCAGAGGTTTCTTTCTGTTAAACGGGAGTTTATCCTTCCCAGTGTCGCCAAGCGCATGCCCAGACGGGGATGTGCTCTTCTCTCTATTATTTTAGGGTCTCTACCTTACCTCTACAATATAAAGACCCCAGATAAACAAGTTTGCTAGCCTTAGCACTCCAGCCTTTTATGGTCCACTCTAACTCCAGAAATATGAAGCTGTGAACAGACATTGTGGCTGCCATAAACTTTGTGCAGATCAATAATCATCTGCTAACCTTTAAAAAGCTCTTTCTTTGAATTAGTTCATGACAGTTGAAGAACTTTCAGAATTAAAAAAAAAAGGGAAATGCAGTCAGATTTTTAGTTTTAGTTAATAATAATAAAATAATAGAGGAAGATGCTGGGCAGTGGTAACCAATGTGACCAAAATCTTCATCAATGCTGAGAACAACACTCACGTCCATGTAAAGAACTGTCTTCATGTGGACACTCCAAGTCATGGAAAGGTTCATATAGAGCACAGATGTGTTGTTAAAGGGTTAAAATTGTAAACGTACTGAAATATTTCCTGCTCTTTGCTCGCCCCTCGCCATCTGGGAGTGTTTTCTCTCTGTTTCTTCGACTCTCTGGGAAACTCATACTTTTGTCCAGTTTTGTGGTCTTTTAAATCATATCCTGGAGTCATTTGACGGTGTGTTGTAAACATGTGTGTTATAATCATACAACAAAATTTTGAGCTTGGGATTGATGTAGCGGTTAAAACTTCCAATTGACTCTAACTCTATTTTTTATGGCACTGGCTGAAGATTGAATCCAGTCAAATCCCTCCCCGCTGCTGCCTCGCTCTCAGCCTCTCTGCGGTCTGAACTCAATATTCAAAGAGGATCAGCGCTCCACTCACGAATTATTCACGTTCCCCTCAGTACATCTGTGTTCATAAAAGTTTTTTATGTGTTTTTTTCTCTTGAAATCAAACAAACAGTAAAAGTTTGTGAGCTGTGCACTCATGAAACTCTCGGCCTCATCCTGTTACAGTCCAGCAACCCGACCCTAACCAGCCTCGGCCGGAGGGGGCAGAGATGATGCCAGTGCGAGGAGAGCCGCTGGGGGTGGTCACTAACTGGCCTCCTTCTCTGGAGGCGGCTCTCCAACGCTGGGGAACCATCTCCCCGAAAGCCCCCTGCCTCACCAGCCTGGACACAGCAGGGAAGCCCCTCTACGTGCTCACATATGGTAACCACACACTTAGTGCTCACTCATTCATGTCCACCAGAGCTACAGTTAGATAAATGTTTTGCTAGTTCAAGAATTTAAAAATGCACAGACATGCATGCTGGTTAGGCTGAATATGATTCACACCAGGGGTGGTGTACAGCCGTATGTTGCACACTCCTGGTCTCTATATTTATAATTCTTAACTTGTTTGAGCTGCTGCTCACTACAAACAAGAACAAGCATTAAATTTGGACTCTTAACTGTATTTTCATAACTTTTCCAGCTCTTCCTGCTGATAAAAACCTCTCTCATGACTATTCATCTTTCTTTGTCACAGCAGCTTTGTCACAGTTAAATATGTGACTGGTCCGGCCTGCTTAAGATCAAAGTGGGCTGTATGTGGCCCGCAATGTAAAATGAATTTGACACCCGGGCTCTGACGCTGACTGGGGTGGCCCTGCTGTCAGACCAGTAAATACATTTGGGGTTATTTGGCGTCTGTTCTTGTTTGGTTACGGTTAATTTACAGTTTGTCAACTTGTCAACAACTCCGGTGACACCTTATCCCCATTCGCACATACAGAGGGTGATAGACTGAAGTCTGACAGAGAGAAGCTAGTGCAACCAGAAATCGGTGAAAATACTCAAAGGGACCTAAATGTGCCTAAATAAACTAAATATAATATTTTAATTTTATTATTTTAATCTCTGAAACAAACTGCATGAAAGTGAAGTTGTTATTAAACCGCTGCTTCACTTTTTTACTAAAGAGAAGAGGAGTCATGCAGGAAAGTGGTGGAACAACAAAAGATAAAACATCCACAGAAGCATCTGGTGGTTTTGTTGGCCCCTCTGTGTCCCCCTGTCTCTGGTGTCTGTGATGGTTATTTATCTTTTTGGTTACTTTGAAGGTTTCTTCACTTCCTGCTCAGTATCCCGCCCACCCTCATTAGTTTCACCTGGTCTCCTTTTCAATCACCGCCTGTTGTGCCCTCTTTCCTCTTTTCTTTATGAGATCATTTGTTGGCCCTCTGTTGGTCTGCCTCTTCATGATTCCTCTTTTAAAAGTCATGTTGGGTTTTTGATTTGATTTGTTTGATTTCTTTTGGTTTTAGCAAATAAGGGGACCAAAAGGGACAAAAAAGTTTGAACTCTTCTGTTACAGCTCTCATAGCAAAATAAATCCCCCTAAAATCAATATAGTAATATATATATATAATATATATTAAAATCCATCAGAACAGACACATCTTAAGTACTAATTACACATGAATAGTTATGTCCATGACTCTGTTATAAAGCTCTTTTATTGCCTGACCTTTCTTTTCATTTTTTGTATTAATTAAACAACATCATGAGTCATTTTTTCCTAATTGGCACTCGGTCATCACAACATTGAGAACCTCTGATGTGGACTATAATGAGACACTCCCTGAGACTAACACATATAATGACCAGACCGGGCCATTAAAACCAGCAGCCTAATCATCCTGTGGGTCCTGCTGTGAACTGGGCTTCTCCTCGATGCTTGATCAGATTGGGATCTGGGGATTTTCTTAGGACCTCAACACCTTGAAAGCTTTTTTTTTGCTGTTTCTCAAGTCGTTCCTGACCAATTTTTCATTGTATTTGCAGCTTCTGTAACAGCATATGACAAGACTGCACAGGGGAATCAAATTATGCAAAAGAAGTAGCGGCATTATTCTAATATTCTATTTTTAATAAACTCAGAGCTGAACGTGTGCAGGAATGCGTCCTCCCCCCACCATTTTTACATGGTTTCCTCTTTCCTGTGCACCTGTCCACCAACTGTGCGTTAGACACTTGCTTTTAAGTATAATCCATCCATTCTCCAGACGTCAGTAGTGACCTCTCCTGACTGCTGAAAGCTCTTAAATGTCATCACTTCAGACAGTTTTTTTTCCTCTCTTATCGACCGAATTGCCTCAAAATAGAAGTGCAAGAACACACAAACACAATCTCAGTCTCTCTCCCTCCCCCTCTCTCAATCGCACCCTCATATCCTGTGTCCCGCTCCCCGCAGGGAAGCTGTGGTCTCGCAGCATCAAGCTTGCCTACAACATCCTCCACAAACTGGGCAGCAAGCAGGAGCCCATGGTGCGACCGGGCGATCGGGTGAGTCACACTCGCCCACCACTGCAGCTCTCACTTTTCACTTTTTTCTTTTTGTTTGTGCTCACTTCACTCCAACCCTTTGATACTTTGTTCAGCCAAGTTAGCTTTTTTTTTTAAATCTATTAAAACAGATAATTATATATTTGCTGGTATATTTATGATGATATGAAGTTTTTATTATTATTTGACCAAAAAATGTCTCCATAATAAAGCTCCTGTTGTATTCCCTTGAGAATGAAGGGGATACTTCACTGAGATACTGATACTACTGTAATATCTGTAAGCAAAATATTGAGCTGCAGTCTGCAGCTTAGCACAGCGAGCAGAAGCAAATCTAACCTGACTCTGTTCAGCACAAAGAAAACGCTTTTAAACCTGCACTTAAGGTGCTTTTGACCTCCTGTAAGTTTCTGTTCTGTTCAGAAAAACACATTTGCTGGAATAGCAGTAAAAGATTGCAAGAAGTACATCACCACATGCTTACAATTCCAGTTTGTCCAGTTTGCATATGCAGCTGATGCATATGCAAACTGGACAGACCACCAGTGCCAGTTTCAATAAATGGGAGGTGCTCAAGCAGTGGAAATGACACCAAAGCAACGTGAGGCTGTTATCAACTTTTCATTAAAAAAAGCAGTACCAACAGCTCTCTGTCTGTGGAGTGGAACAGAAAGTCCTCTAGAAAAAGTTGGGAGATGTGACACTGGTGTCGGGGTTAATGGAGCACATGTCACTGTGTGGCTAGCTCGCTGCTCTTCTTTCATTGAGTCGTTCCTGGGGAGATTTTTATTAGGAAAAGCATAATGGGTCTGAGAAGGTAGTGGTGCAAAGAGTTTTGATATATCGAACAGTGATAAAAAAATATGTGCAGCATAAATGTGAGAAACAGCAGCAGGATGCATAATACAGAAGTGTGTGTGTGGCAAAAAGATGAGCTGTTGTTAAGTTTGATAGAGAACAGAAGGAATGATGAAGTGTTCTTAAATAAAAGGAGTATTGATCCCCTGCACTAAAGTCTATCATAGCCTCAGTTCAGCCGTCCACAGTGCGGGAAGATCAACTGATTTCAGTGCCAGGCCACGTCAGCTGAAATTCTTCTACATCTCATATTGTTCGTGTGTTTTTTTTAAGCAGCTGTAGACCTCCTACAGCTGCTGTGCGTTTGAAAGCTCCTCCTGTTCGCACAGTTTCTGACTTAATCAGTGTCATAACTACTCTCACTGATGGCCGACTGCTCTGTGCTGCAGTCTTGGATCACCCTCCGCCCTTAACTGCTCTCAGATAGTTGAGCACACTTGTGATGCCAGCTCTGCCTGCCTGTCACAGTTTATACTGGGCCTCATCTCTGTTCATTTAAAAGGAGCTGCACACAGTGTTTTTTGCCAGATGTAGCCACGATCACTTTTTCTTGTAACCTAATGATTATTAAACTCACGCACATGCCCAGTGTTGATGTTATCCTCACCGTCACGTTTCAGTGGTGGACATAATGACCTTCCAGACTACTGCTCTGGATTCATGTTGAGTGCACAAACACAAGACTGTTATCAGTCTCCTCACTCTGCTCTCAGTGAAAAGCAAATAAACACTGAGAGCTGTATGTTAGTCATTCTAGCAAATTAACTTGTGCTGAGCATACAGATAAATGTGCTGGGGACTTTACATGAACTTGCGTGTTGCTTAGAAACTGACTGAAATTTTCACTCCTTGTGTTGCTTTCTGAGCCTTAGAAAATGATTTCAGTTCTCTGAACCCCCGTGCTGTCTTCTGTCCTTCCCTCCTAGGTGGCGTTGGTGTTTCCGAACAACGACCCAGTGGCCTTCATGGTGGCCTTTTACGGCTGTCTGCTGGCAGAGGTGGTCCCTGTTCCCATAGAGGTGCCCCTAAGTCGCAAGGTACTTCAGAGCACTGCAAATCAGCTGTCTTTAGTCGTGGCTGCAGCTCTCTGGTTCCTTTCCTTTACCTTTAAATCTGTTGCTGAAGCTGTTTTGTGCAGGATTAGTCTCTACTGGAGGTTAGGTAATTAGATTTTCATAAACCTGCTGTGGCCACATCTGTATTTCACCTCGCCCCCCCGGAGCTCCAGACTCCCGCTGCGTTTCATTTCAGTCGTGTTTGCACAGAAGCCTTATCCATACCTCAGACAGTTGATAAAATGTTTTGGATCTTCAGCTGCAGCCTTTTACCAGCAACAAGTATTTCTGAGGAAATAATCACGTCTAAACAGAAAGCAAAAAAATACAGTTGACACACAAGAAACGGGCCCTCCTGCTGCCCCACCGTCACACAGGAAACACACATCGCTCAGCTACAACTGCTGATCTCTCACCTTCAGTGACCTCAGATTTCAGCAGCTTCTTTTTTGGATGCCACCCTGTATCGTAGTTGTTTCTGCTTTAGTCTCTGCTCACTCTGAGACAAAGCTGCTTGTCTTTGCAGCGCAGTGGCCAGCATAGGGGTTGGCATGGTTACACGGTGATGACTTGCTTAGCAGAAAATGCCTTTTGCTGCATGTCGGTAGCCTCTCTTGAACCCCTTCCCCCCGCCTGCATTTGTGCTGCAGGATTTTCCATAAAATTTACGTTTGGGCTGCTGAAGCAGTGCAGCAGCAGTGCAGCAAGAGTCACTTCCAAACCAGCGCTGCATGTTCACAAGTGTAACTGCAAGTTCACTGTATATGTGCAATAACATTAAAGGGCTGTTCTGTTCTATTCTGTGCTGCAGTAGAAGTCTTTTACAAACATATAGCTCTGCATTTACTGTAGTTATGAGATATCTGAACAACAAAAGCATCAGCTTTATTTTTTTCATCGTATTCTGTATCATCCAATAGGACGCCGGCAGCCAACAGATCGGATTCCTGTTGGGCAGCTGTGGCGTTACTGTGGCGCTGACCAGTGATGCCTGCCATAAGGGTCTTCCCAAGAGCGCAACAGGAGAGATCCCACAGTTCAAAGGTGAGGGAAAGTCATCAATCATAGCTGAGTTGTAAAGGCATGATGTGGGGTGGGGGTGGGGGATGGGTGGCTTTGCTAAATGTGCACAACGAGAGAAGAGAAAGGGTGTTCATTCAAAGTGAGCACACTGTCAGAGAAACATCTTGTCACTCTCCAGAGTTTTACTGGCTTGGGAAAAAAAAGCTCATTTGAATCAGACTGCTGAGTGGCTTTGTCTAATAGTTCATCAGTAGATTTTTATTAATAATCTAGATTTACAGAGTAATTAGTAAGCTTGTTTTAGGCTGTCACTGTGTAAAACAAAGCGAGCGTGTATGAAAGCAGCTGAAAAGATTGTTTTCTTTATTTTGAACTTTTCTGCACAGGTGGTTCGATTCTACCGTCGCAACTTTTTGTTGTTTGTGCTGGATCTCATCATATTTTTATGCTCCAAACCACATTTTACAATCTGCATGCATCTATTTTCAGTCACAAATGTGAGTGAAACTCCCTGCACTACTATCATCGCCTTCCTACACTGTGTTAGTGCCAGTAAGAATCTTCTCTTTCTTTCAGCGGCATTAAACGTTTCCATGGGTGTGAAAATACTAACTGGAAGGGAAAAAAATGCTCGTTAGTGAGGACTCTGTTAAGCTGTTTTGCTTCTGTGATTGGTGGAAGCGCTGTCACTGTCAGAGCAGCTGGCCAATCGAATTGCATACATGAAAGGTAAAACTAAACAATGGACCAGCCAGTGCAGACGGAGGAGGTGACAAAAGGAACTTGGATAAAACATAATTTGACAAAGACTCACAGAAAGCATTTGGACCTGAGTATAAATATTCACAGAGAACCGATAAACACAATCAGGGTCAATCATACAATCACCCACTCCAGTAATGCCACCACCACCCACACCAGTATAAAGACAAGGGTGTAGCAGCTGAAGTGAAGCCTTGAACCCCGGGCGTCCTTGTTGTTTTCTGTGGAAGTTACATTAAGCTCCATGGAGCAGGTGAGGAGGGCAGCAGGTCAGACACAGGAATGCCACACAGCACCCAATCTTCTCCAAATACAAGATCCTGTGAGGCTAAATGCTCCCAGTGTGGTTTTCAGCTGTGGGGAGGACTCAAAACCACCAAAGAAACCAAGATGACTTTCAAAATAAAACAGCAAATATCAGCATCGTGACAGTCATATCACTCCTCTGTCTCTCTTCATTACTTATCGTACCTTTTGCTTCTCTCTCGCCCCTGCAGGTTGGCCGAAGCTGCTGTGGTTCGTAACAGAGTCGAAGCACCTGTCCAAACCGCCCAGAGACTGGTTCCCCCACATCAAAGATGCAAATAATGACACTGCTTACATAGAGGTGAGGCTAATACACACACACACACACACATATATGCAAACACAAAGGCACAATGAAACTGTTGCCTGTGGTCCATCTCACCAACCGCTGGGTTGCTGCTTGTGCTGCTTGTTTGCACTTTGTGCTGATAGGATTAGTGTTACAGGCTTACTGCATATGTCTGCATTGACAAATATTTGAATTGTGGTAAACATGTTTGTTTCCTTTCTCTGGTGGAGAGAATAAAATCTGTAGGTGTAAAGGTATGTGTTTACATCGGGAACCTGTGCCAGACTATTTCTGTCGAGAAGCATCTGCTTCCTGCTGACAATCTCATGTCAGCTTTTGTACTCAGTAAGGAAATCAAACTTGTGTGAGCTTGAAAGGAGCTGGTAGCCAAGTTTGGATTTTCTCTCACCTTTGGTCAAAGCCAGACTGGACATACACTCAGCTGAGACTTTTTCCATACGACCTTAATTCTTCCATAGATTCAACAAAGTTCTACAAACATTCCTCACAGATTTTAGTCCATATTGACATGACAGTGTCACACATTTGCTACAGATTTGTCAGCTGGTCATAAAACAATAGACAAGATGAGCAATGATGCTGAGGTAGGCTGTGGTGGTTAAATGATGCTTAGCTGATACTGAGGGCCAAAGATCATGTCCCCCACACCATTACACTACCAGCTGCAGCCTGAAGCATTGATATGAGGCAGGATGGATCCATGTTTTCATCTCCTTTATATTTAATTCTCACCCTACCATCAGAAAGTGACACTCACCAGAAAAGGCAACATGTTTTCTTTTTTTGTGGGCCAAATTTTTGTGAGCGTGTGCAAATTGTAACCTGAGTTTCCTGTTCTTAGCTGACAGGCATGGCCACAGTGTGGCCTTCTGCTGCTGCTGTCGTCCATCTGCTTCGAGGTTCAATGTGTTGTTCATTCATTCAGAGATGCTCGAAGCAGTCTGGCCGCACTCCTCTGACCTCTGGCATCAACAAGACATTGCCTCCCAGAGAACTGCTCACTGGATGTTTTCTCTTTTTCTCACTATTCTCTGTGAATCTCAGAGATGTTTCTGTGATCAGCAGTTTCTGAAATACACCAGCCTGACACCAACAAGCCTGCCAGCTTCAGAGTCAGCTCAGCTTGAACTGCTTACATATTAATGTTAACAAGCAGCTGAACAGGTGTACTGAGGTGGGAGTAGCTATGGTAATTGGGGGGCAGTCACCTACTAATTTTCTTTTTTCAAAGCATACCCTGCTTTATCATCTGTTTACATGTGACCATGAGTCTCGCCTCCTGCTGGTCAAAGGAAGGAAACCAGGTTTCATATTTTAGACGCCCACCTTTCTCTCAAGACCATCTTTGAGAAAGAATCTGATTTCTAGGCTTGGATTGTGGGTGTGCTATTTCTATAGTGTTTTTCTCAACATGTTTTACATTAAATAAATAATAAACGTGAGAAAACAGGTTATATATGAAACATTAATGTGACCTACTCCAGTTGCTGCATGTAGCTGCAGACATAAAAGTGGCGTCAGTCTGCGTATGTAGGCCAGAAAGCGATAAAGCACACTTCCAAATATCAGCATGTGGTATTTTATATTGTTTTTAAAATGAATGTTTTTGCAATTATCTGGATTTTTATGAACTAAAATCAAAGGAATAAATAATCAGCAACATTTATCTTTAGTAATAATCTATTTGCAGAGACCCACGAATGTGATGTCTTCAAAGTTGAAATGAGATTGTGTTTTTGTACTGAACGACAGGTACAGCAGGGTTGAGTCTGTCACTTACAGCTTCCCTCTGCTTTGCTTTCAATGATCCATCTGTTGTTTTCCTCCCAGTATAAAACCTGTAAGGACGGCAGTGTGCTGGGAGTCACTGTGACGAGGATCGCTCTGCTCACACACTGCCAGGCTCTCACTCAGTCCTGCAGCTACACTGAGGGTAAGGACGCACACACGCACACACACACACACACACACACACACACACACACACACACACACACACCTGCACAGACACACTGTGCAGTCTCAGGGTTATATATAAGTAATTTAACCCTCTTCTGTCCCATCTCTGCCTGCAGCTGAAACCATAGTGAATGTGCTGG